CTGTCATAGATGTTAATATTTTATATTTCAGTACTGAAAACTATTTGTCCTTCGAAAAAACAAAACAACGATGTTGTAATATGGATTTATTTGCCAGTCATGTTTGACTGGAGATATAAAATTCTGGATAGTATGGTGTTGTTTAGTGTGATTGAAAATCGATTGTCCTTACAAGTTTACCAAAACCGTTGTTGTATTGATTTATTTGCCAGTCATGTTTGGCTGGAGATATAAAATTCTAGATAGTATGGTGTTGTTTAGTGTGATTGAAAATCGATTGTCCTTACAAGTTTACCAAAACCGTTGTTGTATTGATTTATTTGCCAGTCATGTTTGGCTGGAGATATAAAATTCTGGATAGTATGGTGTTGTTTAGTGTGATTGAAAATCGATTGTCCTTTCAAGTTTACCAAAACCGTTGTAGTATGGATTTATTTGCCAGTCATGTTTGGCTGTTGATATAAAATTCTGTTTTAATTACATCCTTAGTATCAGTAGGGACTACTGGTAAATGAAATATTAAAATGTTAGTTGTAAGTAGAAGCCACTCACAATCTTATGGATATTTAAACTAAGAAATGTAACAATCCTCCACACTACAGAGATGAAACTGAAATCCATTAAAAAATATTTCTAACATGATTAAATTTCTAAATATACTGCCATTATTTTTGTAGGATCCTCAAAGCTAATTTATATACCAGTATTTGTAATAGACCAAATAATAAACTTATTAAGTTTTTTAAAAGAAATAAACACTTTCCTTGTCATTTTCTCTCCATTTGGAACCAAAATACTTACAAATTTTAGAGTCAAGGGCCACATTTTCATGGTCTATGTTCTTAGATAAAAACAATAAAATAAAATGTCTTTTTTTCATAACAAATAAATATGTTGATAATATTAATGTATATTTACCTTAAAAACTGATCAAATTTGCCTCTTTATAAAAATAAACACATTACAAACATAAAAACATCTCAAAAAAACATGTAGAGTTATATCACAGTCTTTATTCACCAATGAAATAAAAAACACAATATTTTTCTTTGTGTTTAAAATAGTTAGTTTTTATTAGTACTGTCTATTTTTATAAATGATTTAGTTCAATAGTACAAGTCTAGTAGCATACTACAAATCCTCATTGTAATATCTGTTGGGTTTAATCCAAGTCTTATCCTGTATCTTACTATATAGTCCAAATGTCATAACATAACTATACAACAGAATTTCTATAAAATCTATTAAAAGCATAAAACTGAGTAATTCTTTATAAAACTCACCAATATATTTAAGAATTAAACGTTGGTCTTACTAGAATTATTTGTGTAAACGCAATTGATCATGTGACAAACTAAATAAATGATGAAGTCATGGTGTTAACACACTAATAATGATATTGAGACGTTAAATTCTTATATTTATATTTAGATACTTTTATTAATATAATTTTTATATGTTTTATATGATCAGTTATTTGAATTTGCCACAAATCTTAGATTGCGTCATTGTTGTGCTTTGATGACGTCATAGTGTCACTTGACAAACTACAGTTTATCGAAAAATAAACGCCAGTTAGTGTAACTAAATGTAGTAGGTAGGCCCTAGTCCTTGTTTTATAAAATTCACTTAACTTTTTCTACAATAATGTTCAGTTCAGAACTTAGAATGAGTCGCTAGAAAGGCAGATAATGTTCATCTCTTCAAAACTTAACACTGATTTTAATATAGCCTATTATGATTTATTGATGGTTTATTGTTGATCAGTAATCTTCGCCTCTTTCAATAGTCATTCTATTTCTGAACAGACGTGAAATATACAAAACAAATCAAAATGTATGTCATTAAACGGAAACAGATGACAATAATTAATCAGTAACGATACTTACCGTACATCTTATCAGTCCGAGTTATAATCCAGTTAATTAATTAATTGATCACACCTGAATCATAATAATTCCGTTTTTTATTTCCCCCTTAGTAACAAAATAGATGTTTAGTCGCCATTTTGACGCTATTTTTGTCACGTGATGGTAACGTCATAACAAGTGCGCTTAAAGATACGGTGCCTAGATTCTTTTATGATAAAATCAAAAACTCTATTTTATAATGGAAGGGGAATTTCTATCTACCTGTGATTGTTATACAGAATATTTATATGATTAGAAATTATTTACAGATAGCTAATGTAATAAATATACCAAATAAACAATTTACCATGTAGACTCTCTAAAACTAAGCATTTCAACCCGGTTTCTCCCTGTCAGTGATGCAGGTAAGAGGCGCTGACATCGAAAAAGCGTCTGGGACAATAAACCGAGGCCCCGTGTGCTACACGTTGTGCTACACGTTGTGCACGTTGAAGATCCCTCGACAGTTGGAATTGAAAAAGTACAGGCTAATGCAGCTGTCCTGGCAAAATTTCCCTCATTGCACCCTGCATGGCGTTGCCCGTCTTCATTAGCTTACATGGTGCAGAAAAGTAGGACGTAAAACTCCATTCATTTCAAGCCAGGATGCCGGGTCCATCTATTAGTTTCAGAAAATATTAATTTGTTACTTTCTTTATGACTACCTGAAACATGTATATCTCTTATTTCCCCTTTTTCTGCACATAACAGCAGCCTAATCGATGTTACTGAATTTTTTTGCCTTGGCCTGTGCTTTTGTAATTTGTAATTTCAATTATATTGCTTTAACAACCACTTTCACCCATGAATTGGATCTTGGCTACATATCCATTATGACCAGATTGAAGTCTGTGGCCTCAAAGTAGGCCTGTAGGGTAGGTGTAATTTGCCTATGATTTTGATAATATTGATATCTGTTGTCTGCTAGTTAGTTTAACAAATAGTTCTGTAGATCAGGCCCTTCTCCATTCTCTAGACCTTCTCATTAACATAACTAACAATTTCCTGTATTAGTTTCAATTACTTCCCTTTCAACTCTTTCTTTCAAGTATTTACATACTCCCCATTGACCTGAGGTCAATATGTTCCCCACATTTACAGACAATCAGGAAATTTCAATATCTGATTTTTCTTGGGAATGGAATATTTATTATGTAAACTTGTACACAAATCAGAGTACTCCACAGAAAGCCTGTTAACTATAAACCATTACAGTCTTTCTGTCGAGAGCTCTAATTGCTAGCGTACACTCCAATTAAATCACTGCATTCAAGGTGGTTATTGCAGTCAAGGTATAGGACACAGATAGTAATAGATATTGTGAAGATAGACTAGTATGACAGTTCTGAATTAAAACTCCATTACTTTAGCTAAATAAGAAAGATTCAGATCGCTGCCAGTGACACAGTCAAGGGAGATAATCAGCTATAATAATACTAATACTAAGTGAATGTTAAAATATTTATTAAAAGGTAAGAAAACTGGTAACAATTGAAATAAAATAACATCAACAATTAAACTGGACATCAAATAATAAAATTCCATAATATTAGAATAAACAAAGAAATTGTTCGAATACTCATTGTTGAAAGGGATTGTAAAGAGGTTTTCTTAATTTTCGTTTGTATGGGGAAGACTTACAATATCAATTTGCACCATTCCAATTTCAATCAGACGTCTGTGATTCCTGCAATTCCATTAAAACTAGGTTTGTTTGATGACTCTTGCAATTCCACTTAAAATAAACATTTTATGACATCACTAATCGCAAAAGCTGCTATATATATATAAGAACATTTGCGATAGTGATGTCATAAAACACTTAGTTTTAGTAGAATTGCAGGAATCACAGGCGTCTGATTGAAAATTGGAATGGTGTAAATTGATGATATCAGTGTCCACTATACAAATAAAAAGTTTTTTATCTTTACAATCCCTTTAAAGGAGAAAATATACACCAATATTCAAAGAAAAACTACATCTTAGAATTAACATAAAATTTAAGAATTTTAAACTTGACAAATAAGAGCCAGTAGATATACCTGGTGTAATAAATAACATAACAGAATTCCAAAAAAAACTTAGTAATTATCCATAAATATGCATTTAACTATTGAAAAACGCTTAATATCAAGATTAAGAGTTTTTCAATAATTACTTAGCTTTTAGACTTTTCCAATTTTCTAGATTTGACAGGGATTTTGTTGTAACTTTGTGACACCAGGTAAGTTCACTGATGAATATATACTCATATTGACCATTCTTGAGAAATTAAATTTTATGTTCATTCTAAGATGTAGTATCACTTTAAAATATGACTGAGAACTGTTGTGATCTATGATACATTCTCACCAATTAGAAGACAGATAATGATCAATGACTTATTCAAGGTCATCAGAATTCTGCACACTAATCGAGATCGGAACCCACAGCCACCATTAGCTTGAAGTTACCAAGCAAAAGAAATCAATGTTCTAACTAGCTGTACTATAGAACATCACAAAAAGAGGCATGATTTCAAAGTAATTTTTTTAATCCTGTAGAAACATTAAGGGGTTGAGATCACATCATTTATCTAACCATACTATTTTTAGTATTCAGCTGAGTTATATTGTACACAACGTTTCAACAATTTACATCGTCATCAGGTGAAAAGTACATGTATTTGTAAAGTTGTTTTCAATCAACCAGTCTTCATATTTCTTCAAACATTGGTGAAATCAAATAACTTTAACAAGAATTTTAAAATATTGCATAATAATAATTAGAATACCAGGTCAACAGAACATTATTTATTTATAAAGGACGTTAGATTTCTTATTGCAATAAAACCTAGGTACTAATACTCAAATAAACATTCTTTATCACATCAGAGGACCATCAAAAATATAAACACCAACAATCTAGTTTGTTTTGAGATAGAACAAATAGTAATTAAAACTATACAAGCCAGACCTATATTGTGTTTAATACTTTAACTACCTACAAATATAAAAAGAACTGCCCGTGTTTATGTCTGGAACTGTGCAAAGATACTAAATACTTCTGCTTGACCATTGATGTGTTCATTCCATTTTTATCCGATTTTCTAAACGAACAGAAAAATAAACGAAACCCACCACACAACACATACTGTCAATAGCCATTCTGACGACGTTCCAGTAATGGACACCACGCCTGGTCCAATATTTAAAATCACCATCTAATATCACCGCCATAAACATTATAATTACACTAGAACAGAGGCAGATATCTCGTACGAAAAACCCAGTGATAAAACCTAACGAACACGTTGCCATAACAACAGTCACAATAAACCTACTCCAATCACCACCAGGCACGTGACTACCAAACGCCTCTTTAAATTCAGTGTTATTATTAAGAGCGTACATATAAGCGAAGAAATAAATTCCGAGTAATATTTCTCCAATACGTTGTAATTGTTGGCGACTTGCTAGAGATTTTTTTTCCTGAAAACTTGAATAGAGGATATAGATGCCAGCACAACCAACATGACGAGTTGCTATCTGTATCTGAAATTATAAATATAATAACATTATTAGCCATGGGAACTCTCTAATAAATCATGAAATTAGCCACATAACACTCTGAAAGTGCTGGCAATTTGACAAATCCAAATACTGAAAGAAAACTTTTAGCAATGTGGACTCTCTAAAAGGGATGTCAAGTTGACAACAATCTAGAAATCATGAAATCAGCCACATGACACTGTGAAAGGGATGTCGAGTTGACAAATCGAAAAAAAATTTATGAACTATGTGCACTCTCTGAAAGGGATAACAAATTTACCCATGTCAAGGTTCCAAAGCTCTAACCAACTGATTTACAACCGGTCCTCAATGGAGCTACAAAATAAGCAGTGAAAAGGTTACTTACTCTGTGCCATTCAGAATATTTAAGTTTAGGGTTGGCGTAAAATGTATAAGCGAAATAGAGCAGCTGTCCCGCATACACTAACAATACTGGTTTGGACATATATTTCAATGACATCATCAGACCACAAATTAAAGACACGCCAAGATTGATGTAGATTATCATTGGTTTAAAGGGCGGATAACTGAAATATAGAAAAATTGTTGTGAACTGATAGAAAAAAAACTATCATTTTTAAACTTAGGTACTGGAGGATCTTGTCTACCGCTCAAGGAAAACAGATTCACAGGGTCTAATCTACCAGCTGGTCCTTAACCAAACCTCTTGGCATTGATCTTTCCTAGATTATCCATACCCATTTACAGCTGGATTAACTGGAATTATGCTGACTTATTTAAGGTCACCAGACTTTCACACAATGACAGAGATTACAACCCATGAGAACCATTTTTTCTATGTAACCAAAAAAAGATGTCATGTTAGGTTTTCAAAGCTT